ATGCTTACTACGACTGTTTTTGCCTTTGTCTTTGGTGGTCGGTTTGGTTATCGCATCGTAGATGATAGCTTTCGGCGACACAACCAGCTGACTGTGTATGAATCTGCAATGCATGCACAGCGTCGCTATCATGCATCCATTGTTGTGGGATTTGTCAAGTATGGTTGGCGTTGGGGATGGAGAGCTGGTACCTTTGCTGGTGTTTATAGGTGAGTGGTGACCTTAACCCTTTAACTCCCAAGATCTCATTGGTAATTCTCCTTACTGTCTGCCAAACAGCTCTTGTGACATTAGTTTAGAGAATTTGGGATTTGATCAACTTATAATTCCTTAATTGACATTTTTCTTTATTCTCAACACTTGTTGGCTTGATATTGTATTGATATTGTAAGGAGAAATTCTGTCTTGGTCACTCATGGGAGTTAAAAGGTTAAGGTTAGTGTACTGGATGCTTGGTTGAGATGTTCAGGTTTTAGACTTAGCAAGGTCATTGTGTTGGGTAAATCTTTTGGGGATGCTTCTCTCCCCACCCAGGAAAATGAATGGATAGGAGCTAATTGTTGGGGAAGCTTGACAGTATGCTGCAAGGGGGAGCACTAGCACTCCCTGGCACTTCATGCTGTAGTAACTGGGATAAGTTCTAAAGGCATAGGGGTTCATAGGTTCACTGGAAGACTTGACCTTTCTGTTGATGTTTTCTCAATTCTTAGAGAAATTTCTAGGTGGATGTTAACCCTTAAACTCCCAATATCTGATTGTTAATTCTCCCCTGGTGCAGCAACACAATTCTTAGTAAATTTGTTATGAGAACTTGGTGTGAGATTAAAATAACTACCTCTACCTGTAAGTTTGAGCATTTTCATCAACCATCTACTGGAAAACATATAGGTATTATAGGGAGAAGTGACGTGTTTGTCACGTCAGGGAGTGAAAGGGTTAAGAAAAATATGGAATAATGTTGGTCTTATTTTACCTACTTCAATCTTCTTGAACTGATTAGCGAGTCACCTTACACTCAACCTCTCCCTAGACAGATGAAAAGCTTAAAAAACTCAAAATAACAAAGTGGTCAGTAATGGATAGTTCCATTCCAATATTTAAAAAGGATAAAATGTTTCAGATTTAGTTAAAATTATTTTTTTTTTACATTTGATTTTAGCTTTCTCATGGTTGCACTAGAGGCTTATCGAAACAGATATGATGCACTGAATTTCATGGCCAGTGGAGGTAAATTTAGAGGTTGAGATCAACTTATTCAATACCTTCAGAATACTTAGTTGGTAAAACTCCTTTACTTAGAATAAAAAGTCTTAATTCTATTATTTCTGTGATGAAAATTTGTCACTTTAAAAATGGATTATTTATCTGGTTAATTTAATTTACCATAACATTTTGTTTTGAACATAACAGCTTCAACTGGTGTTTTGTATAATATATTTTCTGGGTGGCGTAAAATGGCTGTTGGGGCAGCACTTGGTGGTGGTTTAAGGTAAGGCAAGTTTTATAGAAAATACAAATACAAAGTAATAAAATGTATGTATGTATGTATAACTCAACACGATACATTCAATTAGAAAATAATATTTACAACAGTAATTTTATTATTCTAGCCTTGACAAAACCTGTGGGTCATTTAAGTTGTTGCTGATGCATCTTTCTAAAGTGAATCAAAAATTGGTTTCACTAACTACCCAAGTTTGTACTAACTTTCCAGCGTACTGTTTTACTTTGACTATGATTTTATAACAGCACTAAATAAATTTAATTCATACTCTTCTAACTTTCTAAACCTTTAGTTTGCCTCTTGGAATACTTGCACAGGCTGGAAATGCAATTCTACCAGAGGAATATAAACTGAACAGAAAGCAACTTGAGGAATGCAATTTTGAAAAGGAAGAGCAGTATGTAATGTTATATTTTCACTCTAATTTAATCCACAATAAATTTTATCTGCTTTGTTCTGTTCAAGTAAGGAATGGCTGTCTTTGCTCCACCATTTAATCTACAGATTTTATTTTTTCTTTTGACATTGTGACAACTTCAGTTTCACCTTGAAATCAGTGAATGCAGAAGTTGCCTTAGTTAAATCATATTAATTTATATTTTTTATCATTTTGTATCTAACAGGAAACAAATTCTGAAAGCTACCACCAGTTCATTGATAGAATCCATAGAGAAAGAATTAAAACAAAAGGATCAAACTTGTGATCACAAGAGATGACAGTTTTGTTAATTTCCTGCTCAAGTCCTGAAAAATAAATGCCTTTTAATTTTGAACCCTTTAATTCCCAAGATCTCTTTATTAATTCTCCTTTCTGTCTGCAATATCATTCAAATGATGTTAGTTTGGAGAATTTGGTATTGAATCAACTAATAATCCCCCAACTGATATTTCTCTTTATTCTCATCACTTATCTGGTTGATATTGTATTGATATTGTAAGGAGAAATTCTGTCTTGGTCACCCATGGGAGTTAAAGGGATAGACAAGGACATATCCATCTCAAGAATAGGAGGAACGAGAGGCAAAAACAATCAAACGAAGAAGTTTATAAAAATTATTAAAAATAAACTATCTAAACATTTAAACTGATGATTCAATACAAATTTTTGTGCAGTATCTTTGTATGCATCACATCAACCCTACATGGTGATTGTAATAAAATGTTTCCTCTCAGCTTTCACATTAAAAAAAACATGATATTTTTTTTTTATAACACATTAATTTTGTTGCAAGTCCTCGAAGGATGTGAAAGATCTGGGAGAGTCATTTTCTCTGGGGCTTTGGAAAGTTACATTTTGAAATTTTTTCTTCAAAGCCACAGTTATCAAATCAGAGGTATTGCTATCAGAAACACGCCTCTGCCTTTTAAATGGTGTACCGCCAGGGGAACGCTTAAATGATGTTCGTCGTAGCTCTGATCTACAGCCACCCCTTATCTTTTTAAGAAGTTCCTCATTTCTTTGATCACATGGGGTTGTTGAGATATTTCTTGCAGTCAAGGCACCTCTCTTCCTTGAAAGGTGTTTAGTATCATTTTGTGGTGTAGCATTGATGCTTGTAAGGGGGGTCAGAGGTGGTGGTGGAGGAGGAGGGGGTATCAGTATTGGAGGGGGTGGAGGTGCAGGGGGGGCAACAAGAATGTTTTCATCAGGACTGTCTGAGGACGTAATAGTATTACTGCTGTCTTTCATGGTTACATCTATCTTATTCCTGCTGCAGTATTTGCCAATTTGATGGTACATCTTTGCCAGATTTCGCTTTAAAATGGCTTCATTTGGTTTGTTGAAGTTAAATGTTCCAAGAGATTCAAGAACCTGATGAAGTTGCTTGATTTGATTTCTCTTAGCCTGTTCATTCTCCTAATTCAAAAGAAATGTGAAATAACAAATAAAAAAATTATTAATTCTTTCCGAAATGTTTTACTGGTAATATGTTAACTGCAAGGGCTGATACTTATAAGTATATCTAGAAGCAGAGTATGAAAAGTACTGAATAACAGGGGTAAGGTTCTTCAAAAAACTATGGTGTCGTGTGGTGTGGGAGAGGGGAATTACAAGACGAATTTGGTTTCCAAAGCACATCATTTACCTCTTCAATTTGTTTGCAAAGGTTCTTATCTTTTTCTGTTACCAAGGCCAACCATTCTCTCTCAAGGAGGTGGCAGTCATCTACTGTGAAAAGATAAACAAACAAACAAAACAGAGATTAACTCTTAAACCCTAACATCGGTATGCAAGTTCTCCATACTACTCTCTATATACATTTCTAAAATGGTACTCGTAGGGAGAATTTGTCTAACAATCCAGAGCTTCTTTAGGCTGTGATCATTTCCTTTATTCTCATGACCTAAATAGTTGATTCACGGGGGAAATTTTTGGGAGAAAGTAGATGTTTAACACTCTAAGGAGTTAGAGAATAAACAAAATTTCAAGCTATGGTGTTTTGGGGCTCCCTCGACATCTTTGTCATTCGCATCATGAGAAAGATAACACCCTCCAGTGGATAGCGCAGAACTTTCTGTTAAGATAGCCATTTCCCATAGGATACCATTGTCCGCTCTATAAACAACCAGGCCCTGACACATAAGAAAGACCAAACATTACGGGATCGACATTGCTGATCCTAGCAGCATGCAGGACGCGTGTCATATGAACTTCGTAATAAGCCTCTTTCACCGTGGAGTCTCTGTGGCTCAGCGGTAGAGCATCGGAGCGCGGAATCCGAAGATCTGAGGTTCGATTCCTCATGGGGTCTCAGAATTTTTATTTGCCTCACGCTCGTGACAAGACTTAAAAACATCTTTCTCTAAGAAGGACCAAGTTTATGAAGAATGAAAAGTATTTACATTTAATAATAGGGATTTAAACTAGAGAAAACTAACACGATCTTGAAATAACTCGTCAGTAGAATAGGCAGTACCTGAATTCTGGCTCAGCTCGTAGATATTTCGAATCTCTGCACCTCTGCGCTCTAGAATGTCGTTAATTTCCCTGCGGTCATGAGTTATCTGCAACTCTGTTTGCCATGGATATTCCGTAGAACTAGAGGCTAAAAATGAACAAATCAAACCTTGAATTACGACTTGTAGGATAGCTCTAAGGTTAAACTGTTTTTTTTCTTACCTTCTTGTCGTACAGCACTCTGGTTTTTGTTGCAACTATTCTCTACTCCGGGGTCGATTGATTTTAGATCGTCAGCCATGTTGGGTACACTTTCAAATATCCCGGTTCTAAGGTCTGATTGGTCACTAATTAAATTCGTTCCCAATCCCTCAAGAAGTCAACTAGCGTTCTTCTTGCCCAGTTTTCACGCGGTCACAAGTTGGGTTCACTGGGTTTAAAGGTTTTATTTTGTTTTTTGCTTATATTTTCAGCCAATAACCATTCAAAAAAGATGTGCCTCAAGTCGTCATTCACGCCTGGTTTTGCACATGTCTCACGTTGCAATTAAATTCATTTACTTCAAATTAATTCCATATTTTTGTTCTAGTTACAAAGTGATATGTTTTCGCTTCCCTTTTGAATTAATTCCGGATAACAGCGTCAATAAAAGACGGTTGCCTGTGGCAACCAGACAATCTACACTTGGAGATTTTAAAACATGTCATAAAAGTGGAGTAAGCTTATATAGTTTTTGGGAAAAAGTCACTTTCATCGTTGTAAGAAGTGGTTTATAGTAACGGAGCCCACAAAGAAAAAAAAATCGCTTTGAAAATGGTACAAAAATTCATCACAACAAGGGCACCAAGCTAATTTATTCATGAATTGACCACTTAATAGGGTTCTAACCTGCCCTCCGAGTCTATTGTTTTGAAGAGAAAGCAACCAGATGCAGCAATTATGTCAAATTAGTCTTAAACAAAGTGCGCCTGTCATGTTCCATCCAAGCTAAGCTGCCAGTTAAATTCTGCTTGGCGTTGGATACCGAAAAGGTTAGTTTCGTGGGGACATACGCACGCGGGAATATCTTGACTTTGAAGGTAAGACTATCCAAACAAAACCTTGTTTCTGCGATCAAAATGAACTTATTTCCACGAAGATCGTGGTTACCGTTTTAGTAACCGTAAGAATAATTTTTCACATCAGTCCTGCAACTGTAAACTAAATCGCTGATTTGAGACGCAAACTACACCACCTAAAAATTCGAGAAGAGATGTAACACACTCTATCTGAAGTAAGATTTCTTGAACCTTAGATGGTCTATCGAAAGCCACAACCCATTTGACTCTGCCAAAAAAAATTTAAAAAAAGAGAGAAAAGCATCCAATTCTTTAAAAGGAGCAGAATTTCAGCTGTTTTCAGTAAAGATTTCAGATTTCCAGTGATTACGATATCAGTCGTTTTTGCATTATCCCTTACCAAACCAATAACCGCCAATGTAGTTAAATTTAGATTGTGGTTTGTTTATAATTACTATTCAAACGTTTTAAGGTAAAGTAAGATGTTTTCTTGATTTTTCTCGGAACGTTTAATTCGTTGGTGTATTTTCGTTAAAAACAAACTTTATCATCCAAAATTAAGGAGTAAATAGACTCTAATATTTAAAAAATCACTCACCGGATACCGTCTGCTTCCCCAATTATGAACAGTCAGAAATAATCGCGATCCGCGTGAAGATAGTTTTCTCAAAACCAACGAAAGTGTACCTGAGGTGATTTGGGAAGAGATAACACATGATTTTCTGTCATGGTCGACTGAACGTTTAAAAGCCGCTTGTCGTTCCTAAACAAAAACTTTAAAACATATTACCGTTAAAGGATCAGCTGGTTGTTTCATGGTGGTTTCCGCTTTTCTTAAACGAGGAAAACAATAAAATTTATCTGCGGTTTGGAACAAACATAACGAAGAATTATTTTTAAGCACGTCAGGCGTCGACTACTCGCAAATGTTCATTTTACTCAAACCTGGCACTTGTTTTTTTTCTGTCATTACCAAAAGGAGCCTGCTAGGCTCACTTTACTTTTGGCCTCAAAATAAATCCGTTCTTAGCTAGTATAATTTAGCCGCAAAAATGCCAATTAACACCATAGAATAACCAGAATAAATGGGCAGACTGAACCGAGATCTCGTCAGTGTTTTCAATAACTAAACGATCAGTGCAGATTTCTTCAATATCCTTCAACGCTTATGCAACGGATTAGTTAACCTCCGGGAAGGGGAGTGAGTGGCTGGCTGAAACA